CAATGGTATCACAATGAGTACAAATGTCGTCGTGATGCACCACAAATTAAAATTTTTGTCGTTGTACCAATGTGCAGTTTCCAACGTCGTCACATTCGCATCGATACCGACGCATTGTACACCATCCTAGCCAGTGTAAAATTGGTGCCATTGAAGTGCGGTTTGAAAAACCGCAAAGATAAAACGACCAATTCGATCAACATAACGAGCAACGAATTCCGCAGAAATAAAATCTTAAGTTGGAATCTGTTTTTCAATGTGGAAAAAATTCAACAAGTGGTACATTTCAAAAAGTATTTCGATTTCCAAATTTGTTCGGACGGTGTGTCTGTTTCGATGATGTACAAAAAGCCAAAATTACCACCACTCGAAATAAGTGATGCTGAAATCATGAAAATGTACAAAGGGAACAAATTGAAGTATGCTATTGGCTGTGATCCGGGCATGAAAACCTGGAACGCTTCAGTGCGTCGTGATTTGGATACCAAAGAAGAGGTAAATTCAATTTTTCATAATGAATGAAAGTGATTGATATTGTGATTGTGATTGTGAATACAATGTCGTTTTTGTTGTTATCATTTTGTTAGGTGAATTTGCGCATATCCAGCAAACGGTATCACTGGGATGCGAAACAAGGCCGACGTAATGCAAAAGCCGAACGAATCACCCGATTATTTACATACGACGAGAAGGCTGATCGCAATCGAGTTGCAGCGACTCTGGGTACAATGCCATCGCCAAGAGAAACATCATGGCGGTCGTATATTGAACATCGACTACGAGTTATGAATGATGGCATTGAAACGTACACGTGTAAGCAATATGCACGCTTGGGATTGGACAAGCATATCGACTCGGTTCGTGCGATCGACAAAACGGCTTGCAAACTGACACGCAATCAACCATCAATTTTCTACATGGGAGCCAGTGGATCCACATCAGCCAACTCACCGATCAAAATCAAAAAACACATGCGATGCCCAGGCACTCGCAAACTGATTGCAGCCATCATGAAACGTGGAAATTGCATCATTCGAATGGTCGATGAATACATGACATCACAGCATTGCCCATTGTGTTTCAAACGATTTCCACAAGAAACTCGACGTGATCGATACAAGAAATGTGTGGGTTGTGTAACAAATCCAATTGTTGGACTACCACGAACCATCGTAACCAATGTGAGC